TGATGGTGGCTGGCAGTGGAATGTGGGACGCTCGTTTTGTCTCATTTCGGAATCGTCATTTGGATGTGCCTGCATCCTAGAGTTGATGATCACTCATGGACTCGAACTCAGTACCATCCGCTTGAAACTATATCGCAGTCCTAAACATCAATGGAAAGAACAAACACTCGATACAAAAATAAATAAAGTTTGAAAGAAGATTATGTACTGATCAATATGTTTTATATGAAATATAAATTTAGAATAGATACTGTTGAAAAGTCTTCAACTAAACTGAAACAATTGATTACTGTTATTTACTACTCAGAAATTGTCCATGTAATAAGAATGAGAAGTTAGATATTAACACCTTTGAACGCTGGCTCAGTGATCTAGAGATTAAGTGTTCGCGAGCGAGACAAAAGGTCCTGGGTTCTATTGCTGCATGCGGGTTCATGAAAGCGCATTGCTGAGGAGTCACATACTGGAACAGAGCGTCCATCTAGTGCTTCTAGATTTTCAGTGGTGGTCTAACATTGATCGATTCACAATTTTAATAAACTTCAACAATCTCTCCAACCCCAGATTGATAAACGGTAATTTTCTATACATTCTGATGCCTTGATAAATTTAAACGAACCGGAAAGAAAAAAATTTGTATAAGAACATGAATTCGTTTTACTTTAAGGCTTATCATCAGTTGAGAACGGCTTTAATTTACAGTAGTAGTATTATTATACAAATGTTTTATTGTATACCATAATCAATGAATTTTAATTTAAAAGACATAAGGAACAATTGGAATAAACATCTTATTTAACAAAACCATATACAAACTACAAAGAAATAAATCCTAATCTGTTGAAAGTACATTCATGGAATACATTCATAACTTATTAAACATAAAGCTGAATAAAATTTCCCTTAGATCTAAATTCAACATTCCTTATAAGAATGTCAACAAGATATATTTACAAAATCAATCTGAAAATCTATGCCACTAAGTTTCTAATTTGAAACCCATAGATGAGGATAAAAGTACTTGGTTTAAAACTAAGCTAGTTGGTATTTCAAATCAATATCTAACTTCTACGTTCCTACATTCGAAGATTTTGATGAAGTAAAATTAGTCACCATTGAAATATCTGCAACAGTATGATAATACTGCTGTGTTAGGACGAGACAAAGGTACAGATATCATCATAATGGATTAGAATAACTGCACACAGAAGGTTCTCAAAGGCCACTAGTAGCTAACACGAATCCTCGAAATATAATGAATTCAAGTAATTTTTCTCAATTTAAGCATGAATTTACGATTCTTATAACCACGATCATTTCATGTCATATGCTTATTTTGAACAGTAAGGTTGATGATATTTTTAGCGAGATATTTAAAGGTGTAGGATTACTAGTACGAAAGGAGTCTGTTAAACAATTAACAGTTTGTGGACATAGAATTTTCTGTCATTTCGTTGCCTGTAATAGCCACTGTAAAGTGAATAATATGTATGTGAAATGAGTGTGCAGAATGAAAAGAGGATTTATATTAACCAACAACGTTGTAATTATCACAGAAGAATGTTTCTCAAAAATCAGAAAACTACTTTGGATATGTTTTTGATACTTAATAAAAGTTGATTTTTTAAATATCAAAGATTATAAAATTCGGTTTAGTATTATTGGAGTTCAACCTTTTAACAACAAGATATAAATATTAGAAGAGGTTTTTGTTGAGATTTTAGTGGTTTAATAGTTGAACTCATGGGTCAATTGAAGCTAGACCACCATGGAAAACCTAGAAGCACTGGACGGCCATTTCGTCCTAATATGAAACTCATCTAAGATCCCACTAGCGGGATTCGAATCCAGGACCTGACAGTCTCGCACGCGAAGCCTTAACCTCTAGACCATCCAACGATGTTAATGTCTAATTTCAATCAATTCACGAAATTGCGCCACCGTCCACCATTGTCTTTAGTGAGCTGATATCTCACAACAGACCAGATTGAACTCCATTGGTAACGGCTTCTCACCAGAACTCCATGAAATACCTCTTGAAGCCTGTCACTAGTGAACACATGGTGATTATAATGAGGAGAGGATTTTGTGGAGATTTTAGTAATTTAATAGTTGAATTTATGTATCTAGTGCTTCTACGTTATCCATGATGATCTAGCTTCAACGGACTCATGAATTCAACTATTAAACAAAATATGAATTGAATTTACTTGTATTGGTTGTTTAAATCTTATCGTTGATATTATGAACTTTAACTGACCAGTCTATTCTTTTGATATATGTGCATCCTATACGGATCGGTTCACATTTTTAAGCAGTTAGATGGCGGCTAGCAGTAGAATTCAAGAGGCACGTTTCATCTTATCTGAAGATCCAAACATTTCAACATTTCATCTTGTTAAAATTCATTAAAGGAGAAATAACAAAGAGACAGAAGGGTTCCCTTACTTACTTATTTACGCCTGTTACTCCTAATGGAGCATAGGCCGTCGACCAGCGTTCTCCAACCCACTCTGTTCTCGGCCTTCCTTTTTAGTTCTATCGAATTGTTGTTCATCCTTCTCATGTCTGTCTCTGTTTCTCGGCGTAATGTGTTCTTTGATCTTCCTCTTCTCCTCTGGCCTTGAGGATTCCACGTGAGGGTTTGCCTTGTGACGCGGTTGGGTGCTTTCCTCAATGTGTGTTCTATCCCAGTCAATTTAGATAATTAAAATCGATACATTATTGAAAAATTAGCATGTTGTCATGATAGACAGAAGATAGGCAGCCTTTGAAGTAGCAAACTCATCATTTGGTTACGAAATTAAAAGCAAAATGATGAATTAAATTTTCTGTTGCATTCATTAATTTTAGATTATGAGTAAATGATGGATATTCAACTTTTAATATTTTTCCGATACAAGCCTTTAAAGGATGGATACTATGAAACATTCATAATATAAGCCGACTAGATTTACTTAACATTAAAAAGAGAAAGAGGAGATTATTAATGTGTCATCCATGAAAATGATTTCTTTTTATTTCATTGATAAATTCTTGACATATCGATTGTACATCAGTGACTTTGAAGGTATAATTCGTTTCATGGAAAGACTTGAAATAAAAATGATCTAAGTTAACTAAAAAAAATCAACAGCGATTAACGCTTTAAAAATTTCTAATTACAAAGTAGAAAAATGATAAAAAGATAAATTCTGTTAAGATAGAGGAATTTGTGGAAATTGTAGAATTTCTAAAGTTCTAATCATGAACAAATCTAAGTTAGATTATCGTCGAAAACCTAAAAGCACTGGAAAGCTGTTTCGTCCTAGTATTCATAATACCGTGAGTTGTTTGAAGTTAGAGATTAGAATCACAAGATGCGGATTCAGTGTTCTAGATGTTAAGCGTTCCCTCACAAAACAGAAGGCCCGGTTTTTGATTCCCAGGTAGGGGGTCCCATATGAGAACCCCTAATTTGTCCCATACCAACGTGAATTGGGTGATAAATTGATGGTAATCTGGCTACAATCAGTTCATGATTTAAACTACGAAAATTCTGTTAATCCTGAGAAACAATTACATGCAATGAGATAACAGATATTTTGACGAGTTGGAAGGAATATGGGGGGGGGACAAAATAAACTTACGCCTGTTACCTATCGCGGATAATGCTCTATTTTCCATTTAAAAAAAGATTTTATATTCACGAAAGAGAGACAAGTAATTTATGAAAAGTCCAACATTTTGTAATTTATTTAATTGCTTTCTTTAAAACAGTTTTTCACCAGATGAAATAAATATGTCATAAAGGTTCATTCGATCCTTGATGAAAGTGTTGATGTTCACTTCTGAAGAGTTCACTATAATGATGCAGCAGCTATTCATTATCTTCTGGTTTTCACTGGTTGTCTAATCCGTGATTTCGATTAACCTTATCGGTTCAATTAGTGCATTAAATTAGAGTATTCGAAATAATTAACAAACAATTTAAATAATATGAGATTCACGGAAGGTCACTAGTTAAATAAAGGTTAAAACTTGACCTGTGTATTTAAGAAGTATTAATGGTTAACATTTAGCTGCCTTGGTGATTACAAAATAACACGGTTTGAATGACTAGTGGTTTCCAGTCTTTACTTAATTATGATTGGTATACAGTAAGTTCAAAGCAAACTAAAATTTCACATCTCCTTGTATTATTATCATGTTATTTTTATATCTTACAGTAAAATGATCTTACCCAATATTGAAAAACTGTCAATCTAATGAGTTAAAATTAGTTCTTAAATTCTTTCTCTCAAATAACGTGAAGTTCTTTGATGAATCAATTAATTATTTACAAAGTTTTAAATGTTTTAAACGAATTAAACTTATGGGTCTCTATAAATTTGAAGAGAAACCAATGACGTACACTGATCAAGGGGATTCTATGAAGATTGGCTTATTTTACATGAGATATTGATCAGAGATTGACCTCATCTAAAGAACCTAGAGGTAATGAGTGCATACGGTTTAGGAATACCTTACTAGAACAATACAACTTGTTACATTTTACGCTTCCTAGTTTTCGGTAGTAACCCAACTGACACCATTCCGATAATCACTACCACCTATAAAATACACTGAACTCAGTATATTCTACAAAACTCTTTATTCTCAGTTTACGAAAATTTATAAAACATCAATCGCATGAAATTACTCATTCAAAGTTGATTACTAAGTTGATAAAGTTAAAATTTTGTTTGCATTATGATAAATAAATTAGATTAACATTTCTTTGTCTAAATAAAATAAAGAAAGGAATTGCTTTTTCTATAACATTTTCTCTTAAACAAAGCAAATTTATTCCTTTTCACTAAATTAAATTATATTTCAAAGTAAATAAATTAACCTTTAAACTTTTAAACAAAGGTAATTGAAAAATATTTCTGTGTGGCAAGAACAAAACAACAATAGATGATTATTCATTTCATTTAGAAATGACATTTGACCTCAAATTGTTTGTTTGTTTTTCGGTTTTAACTATCATCATCATCATCATCATCATCATCATCATCATCATCATCATCATCATCATCATCATCATCATCATCATCATCATCATCATCATCATCATCATCATCATCATCATCATCATCATCATCATCATCATCATCATCATCATCATCATCATCATCATCATCATCATCATCATCATCATCATCATCATCATCATCATCATCATCATCATCATCATCATCATCATCATCATCATCATCATCATCATCATCATCATCATCATCATCATCATCATCATCATCATCATCATCATCATCATCATCATCATCATCATCATCATCATCATCATCATCATCATCATCATCATCATCATCATCATCATCATCATCATCATCATCATCATCATCATCATCATCATCATCATCATCATCATCATCATCATCATCATCATCATCATCATCATCATCATCATCATCATCATCATCATCATCATCATCATCATCATCATCATCATCATCATCATCATCATCATCATCATCATCATCATCATCATCATCATCATCATCATCATCATCATCATCATCATCATCATCATCATCATCATCATCATCATCATCATCATCATCATCATCATCATCATCATCATCATCATCATCATCATCATCATCATCATCATCATCATCATCATCATCATCATCATCATCATCATCATCATCATCATCATCATCATCATCATCATCATCATCATCATCATCATCATCATCATCATCATCATCATCATCATCATCATCATCATCATCATCATCATCATCATCATCATCATCATCATCATCATCATCATCATCATCATCATCATCATCATCATCATCATCATCATCATCATCATCATCATCATCATCATCATCATCATCATCATCATCATCATCATCATCATCATCATCATCATCATCATACACATATTTCTCTTTATTAATTAAAAGAGAAGATGAACTACACATTGTTTAGAATAACTTAAATTGATTTTCTATCATCAGATCCTTAACAACTGTTTACAACCTATCAAGATCAATATTTTATATAATCTATTTGTCATGTTTATAGAAGTAAGATTGATTAGAATTTTACTAGATAAATAGTTCAACTGAACTAATCAATACTGAAACCAGATCAATATATAACTACTCTCTTGTTTTATGATTCAACCGCATATACCACAAAGACAACTAACAAAAAATGTGTTTATTCTACCGTTATATTAATTTTAATATGTAAACATACTAGTATGGTTGAGTACAATATTATAAATACAAATGACTTTAAAAAAAGTTCTAGAATACCGATTAGGGCAGACGAGAAAGACCACAGGGTCAAAATTAATTGATTACGTTATGAAGTAATCGAACAAAAGTTAACAACAGTTGTGAATTTCAACCACTTATAAATAAGATTTTGAACTAGAAATGAATGATTTAATGATATAACTAAATGATAGTGAAACAAACACATCGAATTAAGTTACTAAGTTAAAGAAAGTCTGAAAATTGTTTACATATTGAATGTATAATTCAGGTTTTAAGCGTTTGAAGCAAATAGCTTCATTCTAGTTGAATACCTTTAGAAATATATTTGTGGAATTTAAGATTGGTTATTTCTTTCTGGTCCACCTATATAACTTTCATGGTAAATTCATATAAATCTTGTATAAACAATTACTGATAATTGAGAAGGTTTTCTGGAGATTTTCAATTGCTTAAGAGAATATGTTATTTTCTTCAAGATAATGTATGTGGTTAAGACATATGTCCTGGATAATCCTGTGTTTAACTGTTTGCAGATTGTCACTAAATTATCATTATCATTTTATTATTTATTTTATTTATTTGAACATATAGATATTGGTACGAAGGGGTGCCAGGTACATATGTGCCACACAAATCAAATGAGATTTGTGTGAGGGGTGTGGTACTGCCCACGCGCCCAAATCGAAGCAGGTGGTTTTCTTAGGGGGTCACATCCGAAGCCTTCGACCTAAAGGGCTGACCCACAAGGCAGTGGAGCAACGTAAGGAGATGCAGTCCCATGATAGCCGGTGACCAACGATTGGTTCATACGCCATTTGTTCCCCCACGATACTGGAGCCCATGTGCACCATTGGTTTGGAATCCGGGTTTATCCAACTCCCCTGGGTGGACTCTCTCCCTACTCTCGGCCGTACCACTGCATCATCATCATCATCTCCTTTAAAGTCCAGATCAAGAATTCTTGATTTTTCTGTCAATTGTGATTACTTTAAACATTTATTTTCAATTTATATCAATAAAATTTTCTGAATAGTCGTTGTTTTCTACCTATTTTTCAAATGTTCATCGATTTTCCATATAGTTTATCAGAATACAAATCTCTTTTGTTCTGTAAAATAATGTTACAAATCGTAAGCAATAGATGAAAACATAAAATAAAAATGACTTCATTCTATTCTACTTAAATTATTATTATCAGAAGGGGTTTGTTAAGATTTTAGAAATTTCACAGGTTGAAATCATGAGTCAATTGAAACCAGACTACAATGGAAAACCTGGAAGCACTGGACGGCCGTTTTGTCCTAGTACGGGACTCCTCAGCAGTGCATATCCACGATCCCGCACCCCACGAGATTCGAACCCAGGACCTATCAGTCTCGCGCCAGGCGCTTAATCACTAGACCAGTGAGCCGGTATCCAATGCTGTTAATGTCTAACTTCAACCAATCCACGAAGTTGCGCCACCGTTTTTAGGTTTTCCATGGTGGTCTAGCTTCAATTGACTCATGATTTCAATCTGTTAAATTATTATTGTTATTCTTTTTAGGTTAATTAACACTATTATGTAAAAATAAATCAAAATTGTAGAAGGTTGTCATTTTGAAAAAAAAGACGAAAGATCATTGGTTCATTAAAAATGAAAACATTTCAGCGAAGCAAACTTCCTTTACTATGATGTCACTTACCAAATCTTCCCAACCCTCCTCCTTTATCCGGGCTTGGGACCGGCGGTGGTCCTAGAGTGGCTTCAGCCGGAGTTAAAATTATCAGAGACAGTCAAGCTTATTCAGGTGGAAGTCAATAAAAATGAATTGGTGTTGCATAGCAGAGTCAAGATTATCAAAAGATTTTAAGTATTGAGTATAATAATTTATGAATGGAAGAATGTTATTGCAATGTAATCCAACTTCTTAAGTATTGAATAAAAAGTGTTGTATAATTTAGCAAAGTAATCAAAACTCATCAAGAGCTTACGTTATGCAATAGTTTTTGGAATTAGTACAAGGTATTAATCTATAACATAAAAAATAAAGATAACTGTCTACTTAATAAAGGAGTAAAGAAAGAGGAAGGTAGTAATTAGCAATCATAATTTGTAAAATTCAAAGACGTGCCAAGACTATGGGTGAATAAAGAATGTTATGTAACTTATGTACTCAGAGTTTCGTATTTGAAACGTTGAATTACGATAGCCTGAGCTGTGCGAAAAATTCTTCATCTAAACCCTTTTTGAGCCAGTTCTTTTTGGTTTTTAGATGATTTTGAGTGGAGATTCACGTGGTGGGGTGTTATCTGAATTGACTACGTGTTCCGGAATTGAGCTGTTGTTTTGTTTGTGTTGCTCTCTAGACAACTATTCACGGTAGTGCTCGAATATTCGTTTACCACATGCATTATTGTTCAAAAGTAAAACTCATGTAATTCTATACATAATATGTAGAACCACAATATACTGTGTATAATAAATCTCAATAGGTAAAGAACCAGAATATTTGTGATGTATCATTGAGTGATAGTTACTCAATTAATTAATTATAATTTATGAAGAGTAGAATATATTACAGAGTTTATTGTGTCGAATGAAAACTTACAATTGGGATGATTATGTAAAATACACTACAAGCTAATTGTTTAATAAATAAATTAAAAAAAGCGTACATAAACTATGTCCTTCAAAAACTGCTTTTGACCTCCATAATTCCCTTACATTCATTTTCCTAATGAGCTAAGTTTCTAGATTGATAATTACAAACATTTTAACGCCACACTGATCACTTCATGTGAAAATTCGTTAAACTAATTTAACGAACAAGAAAAAAAATCAATTGTTTATTAAGCTAATGTTTATATGAAATTTTCTTACTTTCTAGTAATAAAATTTCATTGATCATCTCACGATGTCCAATGCTAACAAGTGTTGGAGACAGTTGGAAGAAAGTTAGGGGTGGCCAACCCAAAATGTGGCATCAATTCTTGAAGTCACTAACTTCTGGTTTGAGCCATGTTGGCAGATGCAGACTACTTGGTTGGTGTCCACGTAACTATTGTAACCAATGGTTGGAAACTCTGTGTGACATGGCTCAGAATTGGTCACAATGGTGTTGGTGTATACACTCTTTGTCTTCCCTTAAACCATGAGATTGAAATTACTTTATACCTCTCTTTCTACCAACTAATTCGTTCTTCCTGTACTATATCCTTATATGCAATCTTTCTTTTATATATCACCACCATTGAATTAAGTACCTTTATGAATTTGGTATTCATCTTGTTGTGCTAATTGAAGTATGGCAACTTGGACCGATGCATATATGTGCCTGGTCCTACGTTGTAGCTGACTGACTGATCTTCAATATGATTCGGAATCAGCTATTTATTACTTCATATTTAATTAATAATCATCATAATTTGGTTCAGCATTTCGTACAATAGTATTAAATAGATGAAATAATGTGATATCATATTACCTTCACTGAAACAACTAAAAATGTAACCATACAATATAATTATGGGAGTACTTTACTCGTTATATTGGACAATAATGAATTTTGAGTACAACAATGACATTTCTAAATATATTTTATGAATAAACTTATTTATTGAAGTGATTCTTGAAAAAAATTTGTTTAATTTTAAAAGACATTTTCATCACAAAGCATTATTTTCTAAAGAACTATTGAGAATTATAGAGTAATGGATAACTATTTTGACCGACTTTGAAACCCTTCAACTATCCATTTGTTATAACTTGTGACCGCCGATTAGAGGGCAGTGAATTATCGGTCGGCCCAAGGATGCGTAAAACACGTGCGAGCAGCCTAGAGTCCTGATTAGCCCTGCTCCCTGCCTAGCCCAGCCATTTAAGTTCAGAACACAAGTCTTAGCCTCTGCAATATGAATCATTATATTTCAAACATACTGAGTTTATAAACCAATCAAACAGACCACAACGTACCAATAAAATAGAAACTAACATTTGTACAAAATCTGGCCAAATGTGGCTGTGAATGAGGGAGGCAGTGACTAATAGACAGGGAATAAGTTAAGAACGGAAAATCGTATAATAACAGTTTATAGGTTAAAATAAGAAAGACATGAATATGAATAGTTTAGTTAATTGACAATTATACGATAAAAATATACGCACAGTATCGGTCCATCAATAGATCCCAAAAGTTACTATTCATTATTCTTATCGGGACATAACACCGTACTCATAATCACATATTACAGTTGGACACGGAACATATCTACATAATGCCATCAAAACAGAGTTTATCAGTTCAAATTCTATCATTGGAAGATGCTTCAGTTGATGTCGTTCTTGAGTTACTTACTATTTTATTCCAACTATCTATGAGTTTAAAACTATGATGAAACATGTATTTAATGTTGTATGTACTTTATCTTTTTTCTAACTGATATCACTTAGTAAATTTTCTCGTTAAATACCCTTTATAATTTTAAATGATTCATATGTAAACAAGACTGGACAAGAATTCCTAACATTAGAAAATAATCATATATCACGTATGATTTTCTCTATACATGATATTTTTATAATTACCATGTTATACTTGATTTTGATTGGTCAATTCGATAGTAATCCTGATTAGTTAAAGTAATATTTTAAACTAAAATTCTATTTCAATGGTTGAGATCATGAGTCAATCGAAGTTAGACCATCACGAAAAAAC